CCCTCTACACCCCTATGGACCGGAGCCATTTCTGCTATGGACCTGATTATTCAGCAACAACTTTATCATTACTTATAGTAACAAAGATATACGTAAATCATTTTCTCGGGAAAAACGAATAAAACACTTTTCTCCTTCTTTGGGGACTGTTAGTTTAAAAAAAATACATTGTTTCTTTAGATAAAAGGATACATTTCATTCTATGATTTTGTCATGTTTAAGATGACTGCGGTGTCAGACTGACAGTTTGTAGGACTCAGGCCTATTAAAAAGTCACACTCCCCTGCTGCAGTGTGCAGTCTGGCAGGGATGGTGTAAGCATCCGGGCTGCGGCTCGGCTTTAATCAATAACTTTTTTGTGAAATGTATTTTTTTTCAAATTAGTTTGCTAATAAAATGTTTACAGTTCAGTAATTTTATTTCATTCTCTCATTACAGTTTCAGATAACCATCTGGAATGAATTCCGCCATGGCCGAAGCTTACCCGTCCTCCCCAGGTAGTCCGGATCGGCCCCTGCCACCGGTGGCTCGACCTCACGTGGTCTCCGAGGTGACCCCAGCCAAGAAGATAACCTTCTACAAGAGCGGAGACCCCCAGTTCAGCGGAGTAAAGATGGCCATCAGTCGGCGCAGCTTCAAGAGTTTTAGTGCCCTTATGGACGATCTATCGAACAGAGTCCCTTTGCCGTTCGGAGTTCGGACGATCACCACCCCTCGAGGAACTCATAATGTAAACAGACTGGACCAGCTCCAAGATGGAGGAAGCTACGTATGCTCCGATAAAAAATACGCGCAGCCCATGGCTGGGCGTAAAGTGGGCGCTCACAAGACCAGCCGCCCAGTCAGCGCCCGAAAACCGGGACAGCAGGATGAGCCGGAGGAGGAGTTCTCCGCCGCTCACTTTCAACAGGTGCCGAAGCTGAGGAAGAAGGTGGTTCTGGTGAAGAACGGAGATCCAACTGTTAGACGATCCGTCATTCTAAACCGCCGCAACGCACGCAACTTCAAGACGTTCCTGGAGGATGCTTCCGATCTCCTGCAGTTTACTGTGCGCCGGCTCTACACCGTGGATGGGAGGAGAGTAAGTCATCAGCTGCGTAATAACACACAATGGTGGGAACATGCATCAATAATATTAGTGTCACTTGTAGTTCTACAAGCATGTGCAGACCTCCTCCCCCTGGTTCTGCAGGCATGCGGGGCTGTGCTGTTGCTTGTAGTCCTCCAGGCATGTGTTCTGTTCCTGACTTGCTCTTGCACCAGTCTGGCAGCTTTTGGGCATTGGCCGACCTCTCCTGCTGATTCTTATGCAGCTTCTCAGCCAATCAGTGCAGTCAGCTTGTGGCCAATCCCGGCGTTCCAGTGGCGTCACAAGGGGGGGTGCGGCCCGCACCAGGGTGACACCATTGGAGGGGTGACACCAAAAGGACTGGCAGTCATTTTGGTGTCACCTCCTCTAAAAAAGTCGGGGCACTCGGTCATGGACCGAGAACCCGACAGTGTCAGGAGAGAGGAGGGGACCCGGCGGCAGTGGCATCACAAGGGGGGTGTGGCCCGCACCCGGGTGTCACCATTGCTCTGGTGACACCAAAATGACTGACAGTCATGGACCGAGAGCCCGACAGTGTCAGGAGAGAGGAGGGGACCCGGCGACATACCTCATCCCGCCGGATGAATGTCCCCTCCTCTCTCTGCCGGCGTCCATCACCAAGATGGCCGTCGGCAGGCATCAATTAGATGGTCGCGCACACATGATGAAGACACGGCGGGGTGTCACCCGGTCTAGAGAATGGGTGACACCCGACCTTGGGACGGCCCTGCACGGCGGCATACCTCATCCTGCCGGGTGAACGTCCCCTCCTCTCTATGCCGGCGTCCATCACCAAGATGGCAGGCGTCATTTAGATAGCCGCGCATGCGCGATGACATCATGGCGGGGTGTCTCCCGGTACCTGCCCCTGGGTGACACCCAGCCTCGGGACGCCCCTGCGCGGTTCCACCCTTTTGCAAAAAGGGAACCATGTTTGCTGTTGCTCATGAAGTTTATCCCTGTACTAACCTTTGGCTTGTCCCTGGGAATTCTAGTCTTCAGCTTGTCCTTGACCTTTGATTCATGTCCCTTAAGTGTCAGGAGAGAGGAGGGGACCCGGCGACATACCTCATCCCGCCGGATGAATGTCCCCTCCTCTCTCTGCCGGCGTCCATCACCAAGATGGCCGTCGGCAGGCATCAATTAGATGGTCGCGCACACATGATGAAGACACGGCGGGGTGTCACCCGGTCTAGAGAATGGGTGACACCCGACCTTGGGACGGCCCTGCACGGCGGCATACCTCATCCTGCCGGGTGAACGTCCCCTCCTCTCTATGCCGGCGTCCATCACCAAGATGGCAGGCGTCATTTAGATAGCCGCGCATGCGCGATGACATCATGGCGGGGTGTCTCCCGGTACCTGCCCCTGGGTGACACCCAGCCTCGGGACGCCCCTGCGCGGTTCCACCCTTTTGCAAAAAGGGAACCATGTTTGCTGTTGCTCATGAAGTTTATCCCTGTACTAACCTTTGGCTTGTCCCTGGGAATTCTAGTCTTCAGCTTGTCCTTGACCTTTGATTCATGTCCCTTATCTGTGTCCGCAGCCGGTCCAGAACTCTGGTCTTGCCAACCATCGTCAGCTGTTAGCTGAGTTGGGTGAGCATGGGGGCCACGACCTGGGGTCAGCACACCGTGTAACATCTCCACCTTCAGGAGCTCTGGGGAAGACCGGCTGGGCCATAGACCCCACGCTCTGGGGGGGTCCCATGGTCCTAGAACTTCCAGCTGAATCTGAGTATTCCGTCCCTCATTCAGCTCCATTCCCTGCTAGAACTTCCAGCTATGGGAGATGTCAGCTTACACTGCATGCGCCCTTTGACCTAGGTTTCCCTGCAAGTGTAGCAGGAGGGTCCACATCCTAGATTCCAGATCACATTGGTGAGTCCGGATCTTGATAATTCCTTAAAAAACACTTAGTATAAATAATGATGATGATCTGACATAAGTCAAAGATGGACAGTAGGAGAGCTCTCAATTTGCCCGAATACTTATTTTTTTTATATTTATGGCCAGCACAGCCAATAGAAAAATAAAATAATTCAAGCCAATGGGGAGAGGAGGGATGACGTCCTTGTATCCGGGCAGATTTCTGAAAGTAAAGTGGATTTTAACTCAGAGTTTTCACAGCTGTCATCCGGGGATCACTAGGGAGCTGTAACATGAGAGAGGGAGCAATGAAGAGCTTACAACAACCACTATGGACAGTTCATTTTAGAGGGGGAAGCATAAGGAATGAGAAGGGTCACTTCAACATTATAGTGGAACGTACGCATATAATACCTTCCCTTGTTACCCTTAGCGGTGTATTTACAAATGCTGCTGCCCTAGGCAAAACAGCAACGCCGCCCCGCCCCCCGTACTGACGCCCGATCGACACCATCAGCACCCC